ATCACTCATACTCAGACCCATTCACACTCAGATTCACTACCAATCAAATCCACTGATACACAGACTTGCTCATACGCAGACTGACTCAAGCACAAACCGCTCCCACTCATGTCCAATCGTACCCAGCCAAGTCGTACTCGGACTCGCAGTCTGGTAATTCACACTGGCAGTATGATCACCGCGACCCAGCAGGCGTGGCATGTGGGCACCCCAGAAGGGAAGCGGTGGTTTGCACGTTTCGTGGCTGGACCTCTTCTGACTGCAGAACAGATCGTGAGGATGTCTTGAGGCAGGCGCTTGCCTTGGCACCCCAGGTGAGAGACCCCAGGGGGTGTTGCACTCGCCCGATCGTGGCCAAAGTGTGGGGAGGCCTCGGGCGGTTTCCTCGTTGCGTGGCTGGGACCCCTTTGCCTTCAGAGCAGGTCGCGAGGATGTCTCGAGCGAGGCGCTTGTTTTAGCAGCCCGAGGGGGGAGACGCCCAGAGTGTAGGCGGTTTGCGTGTTTCGTGGCTGGACGTCTCTTTCTGTCAGAAAAGATCGAGAGGATGTCTCGAGCGAGGCGCTAGCTTAGCATCCCGATTGGGGAGCAGCCACGGGAGTTACACTCGCACGTTGGCCGCCAGAATGTGGGGAGGCCTCTGGCGGTTTCCTCGTTTCGTAGCTGGGACTCCTTTGCTTTCAGAGCAGATCGTGAGGATGTCTAAAGTGAGGCGCTTGGTTTAGCAGCCCGAGGGGGGAGCCGCCAGGGATGTCTCGAGCGAGGCGCTCGTCTGCTTTCAGAGCCGGTCGTGAGCATGTCTCGAGCGAGTCAGACGAATCGCCGATGCAGGTATCCCCCACCCCTCTCATAGCCCGTAGAGCATCTTCACGCTTTAGCAGGCATAGCATAGGGGGAGCTGTTAGGGATCGCTCAGTCGCCACAGGCCAGGATTCCTTTCACTCAGACGCTGGCAGTCGAAAGCGCCAGGAACCGAGATGGGGGTCTCCGAGTCGAAAAATCGATGCCTTGCTTTTTTGTCTCCGTTGGGGGAACTTCGTGGCCACGCCAGATGCAGCTCCAAGTTCTTGGCAGAAAGACCCTGGGCAGGGTGGGCCGGGGGCTTTGGGTTTGAACAGGTTTGCAGAGAAGCCTTTCGATTCCCCCGCAGAGGCGCCAACAGAATCGCGCTTCGCGTCTGGGGGGGGTGGCGCGAGGGCGCGACTCTAACCGCGCATTGCGCAGCGCGAAGAGCAGAGTTAATGTAGGTGACCCTGGACGAGGGGTGGGTGGGGGAGCATTGCGGGGTCTTCGCGAAGTTTCTGGAGGCCGCCCGAGGTCCAGCATGGGCCAACAGCGTTCAAAAACCTATACACCTTCGATCCTCGAGGGCTGGATGTGCCGATCCTCTTCTCACGAGCACCCTGAGGAGAACTCAGGCATAGTACCAGGACCATGGAGGTTGAGTTCCTGGTCGATGTTTGAGGCCGCTCGGTATGTGCAGACGTCGGGAGGGCCATTTCATACCACTCTGGAAGTTCAGGGGCTCTATTCATCGGGTCTCGGGCTGCCCCAGTGGTTTATCCGGAGCGCGGGCCATGGACGCATCCAGGGCGTTCGTCCCGTGCGAAGTTCCGCAGACCGCGGCCAGCGGCTGCCGGCAGCCGCTCCACATCCGCGGCTGCTCCGCGCTATCTGCCCAGACCTCCGACGCAGCTCCTCTTGTCTCGGGTGCGGGGCTCCTCTCTGAGGCCTGCAGAGGCCCGCGGGGATCCCCAGGGACCTCAGAGTTCTCCAGGGACCTCTGGAGGGCGGGTGATGACGCGGGCCCCTTACGGAACTCTCGGCCTCATCCGCGCCAAAGAATGTCAGGAGGAAGAAAAGCGCAGACACAAGTAATCGTCGAGCCCCCGGGAAGATATGGCAATATGTGAAGTGGGAGGGAAGACGATCATGAAGAAACATGGGAAGTATGGAGATTCTTGGGGTTCGTGTCTATTTACCTGTGTGTGTGTGTCCCTGGGCCCCTTTAGAGGAGAGGGTTTGGGAGGCCCCGGGGCGTGGACGTTCCCGGGCCCGCCAGCGGGGGCCGCGGAGTCGCGAGCGGGCGGGGGGCGCGCTCGGGGGGGGCAGGGGCTCAAAGGGGGGGAGCGCGTCGACCCCCCGTCGCCCATTCGTCGCCCAGGGGCGGGGGCCCGACGGCTCCCCCCCCGCCCAGGAAGGCGCGGCTCCTTTCTCGGGGGCCTGTCTGCGAAGTATCGCCGAGTCAGGCTCGACGCTTCTCCCCACGAGCTGGTCCCCCCCCCCCGTCTATCCCCATTTACGCGAGCGAAGGAAAGCCCCATTGACGCACCCCCTCCGGGGCACTCAAGTTCCTTCGGTTCGCACGAAGGTCTCGACAAGAAAGCGGGTCGACTGCCCGCTTACGTGATCAAGGCCGTGATCCGCCAGGAGTACCACAATGGCGGCCCGAATAAGCCCTCGTGTCGGGTCGCCGCGTCCCCTCATGTTGCATTTCGTTGCCCAGGCTTCCGAGATGGGGCCAGAGTAGATAAGGTTGGTTGATCGAGGTGCATCGCCGAGGCATCGGTTTTCTGGAGCGTGATTTTCTCGATCCCGACGTCGTCGATGCATCTGCGATGCGGCTCGATCTTTGTGCCTTGTTCCCCTCTGCACAATCCAGGAGGCCTCCAAGTGTGACTGCTTCGGGGCTGGCCAGCCCCAGCAAAAACGCCCTTCGTCATCTGTGTCGCGAGGCCCACCTGTTTGAGCCCCCAGGCAGCCGATACCGTGAGTTCTCCAACACACGGGGCACCCGTGCCTTCTCGACCCCCTTCCCAGGGTCCGCTCGTCCCAGGCCGTCTTCTGCCGGCCCCCGGGGACCGCCTGCGTTCCCTGGAGGGGCCCAGAAACGCCCCGCAGGAGACCGAGGACTGCGACACTTCTGCATTGATCTTCTCAAGGCGGATCCTTGGATCCCTCCCAGAGCGAGTCAATCTTGGGTGTTCGTTTCGGGATGCGTCCAGCCGTGGCGACGATGACCTCCAGAAGCATCAACAAAAAATCCCAAAGTCGTCTGTTTCCTATGCATTGTTTTGCCGATCGGCGCGGGCACTCGCACCCCCTCCCCCCCTCCCCCCCATGGAGTAGATCTTGGCTGTTTCTGGCGCGTGTTTCGAGCAGGTGGAGTCTCCCCAGTGGGGCGCACTGCTGCAAGCAGTTGCATTCAGCAGAGGTCCGGAGCCAGACCCCCCCCCCTAACCCCACCTTCCGCCCAGTGTCGAGTCGCCGAGAACGAGCAAAAACGTTCACACACGGGTCTGGGCCTGCGTCCCGTCTCCGAGGAGTTGGAGGTCTGGGCCTCCCTCGGGCGCGGCGGCCGGTGCTGCTGCGGCGGGCGGGCGGGCGGGCGGGGCGGCTCGCCCGGCGGTGGCCGCCGCGGGCTTTCTGCTCGTCGTGGGCGGCCTGGCGGAGGGCGGGCTCGGCAGCAGGGGCCCGGGGCTCGCGGTTGGGCCCGGCCGTCTCGGGCGGATGGCAACGGCTTGGCATCGCTCGAGCACGCGTTGTTTTTTCTCGAGGAAAAACGAGAGCAGAATAACCTCTAACCCTAATTACACGACGAAGACGTGGCCTCACTGAGGTCCCCGTCTTCGCATTAGGGATAGTAATTCTGGGCGGTTCGGTTCGGCAGATCTACAGAAACGACCCCCTATCCCTAATGTTTTTGGCCCTCCCAAATTCGGTCCCCCCCAAAACGGTTAGGGGTCCTGTTTTGGTTGGGGGGGAAGATCCTGAACCATCTTGCGAAAAATGAGCGCACGAAGCCCAAAAATGCGCGAGGAATGGGCGTCCGAGCGATGGCAAGATGGAGGGGGTGACCCAAGTGGTGGGTGAAGGGAAAGGCCCCTGGAGGGGCTCTTCAGGGTCCCTGCTGGCTCCAGAAGAGGGGCCCTGGAGGCTCCCCTTGCCCCTTGGGGCCCTTTCCTTCACCTCCCGTGCAGGTCACGCCCCATTACCACCCGCCCGACCGTTCCCCCCTCGCCCAGGGGGCCGGGGCGGCGTGTGCCTAGGTCCGGGTGCCCGGGGGTGGGCGATCGCAAACATGGATCAAGGGGGCGTGGATTGGTGATAGTTTTTTATTTGTTGTTTTGCCGATCGGCGCGGGCCCCAGAACCCCCCCCTCCCCCCCCAATGGAGTAGATCTTGGCCGCTTTTTGGCGCCTGTTTCGAGCGGGTGGAGTCTCCCCCAGAGGCAGCACTCTTGCAAACAATCGCACTAAGCAGAGGTCTGGAGCCAGACCACCCCTCCCCCCCCTTTTATGCCCAATGTCGAAACGCCGAATAAAGAAAACGCTCACCTTGCGACGGGTCCCGATTCCATGGGAAATCGCGGACTTCCGCCGCCGAGCGAGGCGGCGCCGGCCGCATTCTGGGAAGAGCACCTCCCCCGATCCAGGGATTGCGAAGGCCTTACGGCCGGTGCCGCCGACCCTAAAGACGACGAAGATGAGAGGGAAGGGGGGTGTGGAGGGGGAGGATATGAGATATGAGATACCGAGGGACACAGTGTCCCGCCTTCGCGACAGCACGGGGCCCCCGCAGGCCTCCAGGGTCCCCAAGGGCCCCCAGGGCCACGCAGGGTCTCGGAGCTGGGCCACCTTCGGGATGGCCTCCGATCGCGCGCCAGCCTCAAGTGGTCCTCGAAGCAGCACGCGTACTTGAGACCCACTGCAGCACGTTCACCTCCATCTCGATGGGTTACCCACCGCACGCGGGCCGAAGTGCTCGTACAGAGGGTCGTCAGCGCTCTCCCCGCTCCCGCTCTCGTCGCTGTCCTCCTGCTCGAAGGACTGGAGCTGGCGGGCACGATCCCGCAGAGCAGCAGTAGCGCGTCGGTCGCGACGATGCCCGCCATGCTTGAGGATCGTGGTGTCCAGCAGCGGTGGAGGCAAGGTGCGCGGGAGCAGCCAGCTAGGCGGGCGCCGCTCGGCCTCGACGTTCTGATCGTCAAGGCACTGCAGGCATTAGCACAGCGCCGCGTGGCGCATCCCGCGGGGCTGCTGGTATGTCCTGCGCGAGCCGTCTGGCAAGGTCGTCGAAATGGCATGGCCACGGATGACCTCGACCATTTCTTGCCAGCACGTCTCATTGGCGTCGGTGACCACATTTTTGAAATCCTGCTTGAGCTCCGTGTGGTCGCCGATCTTGGCCGCCAGCACCGCGTCAGCCTGGCGATCTTGCCGCTCCAGCAGTGGCCATGTGGCCGCAGGGCCCTCTGACCCCAGGGCAGGGCGGGAGGACACCGCCGCGGCGCGCGCCAGGCGCGCGGCCTCGGCCACAGTGTCAGCCAGCCTGGCCGCAGCGCGCTTGAGGTGGGCGTCCCCGTCGGCGAACTCCTGAGACCCCGTGTGGTCGTCGCCGACGTGCCCAGGTCCCATCCTGCCGTCTACCGAGGACTGCGTCTCGGCACTGCAGGGACCCCGCCGTCTACCGAGGACTGCGTCTCGGCACGGCGAGGGATTCGTAGGGCCCATCCTGCCGTCTACCGAGGACTGCGTCTCGGCACTGCAGGGACCCCGCCGTATACCGAGGACAGTGTCTCGGCACGGCGGGGAGTTTTGTGTGGTGCCTCCAGGCTCCTGATGAGCAGCACCTGGAATACCAGTGGCGAGATGAACAGCTCCGCGAAACCCTTCAGCGTGAGGCTGACCTTGAAGATCAGCGCCAGAAACCTCACCAGCGCAGTAGCCTCCGCTAAGGACTGCCGCGGGGTGGGCTGTCAGATAGACGGCGACCGCAGCACTGCACGCGGCTGCCGGCGGCGGTGGCTCGGCCGTGCAGGCCGTGGCATCGCCGTCCTCCTCGATGGTCACGTCGAGCTCCGCGTCGTCGCAGGACTCCTCATGGAATCCCGTCTCGCACTCTGTCGCCTGGCCCTCTTGGACGAAGGGCGCGACCGTATCCAGCTGGATTGGCACCTGGTCCTCGCAGTAGTCGGGCGCGATTGCGCCGAGGAGGCCGAGGGGGACGAATACAGGCGCCTCCGCCCGCAGCACACTCCCGTGTGGCAGCCCAGCCGTATCCACCTTGACTGTGCTCGCCACAACATCAGCTACGCAAATCTCGACCACGCAATCCACTGCAGCCGAAGGCGTCGCTGCAAGAAGCGGCTGGTGCCTCGCTTTGTCGCCGTCGCTCTTTATCTCCATGCCTCTGTGCACGAAGTCTGTGTCCACGTCGAGCGTCTTGGCCACCGCGCGCAGTGCATCGCCCAACCGATGCATGTGGCGGCCAAGGGCGACGTCAGCCCTGTGGTGCAGCAGCAGCGCCCTGCCGAGGCTGACGAGGCGATCCTCAAGGGCGGCCGCCAGGTCCGTGGGGGGAGCCAGCACCGCCACCGCAGCAGCGGCAGCAGCCGTCGCCGTGGCCCCGTCCCGCTCCAGGGCTCGCTCCCTGCGCAGCCTGCGCGCAAGCGTGGCCGCCGAGCGTCGAGCCCAGGCCTGCCCGCAACGTGGCCCTGCTCCAGACATCGCCCCAGAGGGCGCCGCCCGAGGGCCTCCCGCAACCATCATGCCCGAACCGCGCGCCAGGGGGGATTCGAGCCAGGCTTGAGCCAAAATGGCTACGGCGTGTGGAGGGGGAGGAGGTGGAGTGGCAGGAGGAGGAGGAGCAGGAGGAGGAAGTGGTGCAGGAGGTGAATCAGGGAGGAGGAGGGGGGAAGGAGGAGAAGGAAGAGGAGGAGGAGGAGGAGAAGGAGGGGAGGAGTCTCTTGGAGCCTTGGTGGGGGTGTTCTTGGAGCCTTGGAGCCTCTTGGAGCCTTGGAGAGCTCCTGGGACGTCTAGGAGGCTTCTTGGATCGTCTTGGGGCCATCTTGGCCGTGCTGGGCCGATCTTTGAGCGACGCTGGGCTCTTGTGGGTAATCTTGGGATCCATCTTCGGCATTCTGGGTTCTTTTTGGGGCTGTTCGATATGTCGGGGCCGTCCGGGGGAAAACGAAACTGGGTGGCGACGCCCCCTGGGACCCCCTCCGGACCCCCTCTGGGACCCCCCCCCGCGGGGAAGGGATCAAAGGGAAGGGGCTTCCCTTCGACTCCAATTACGGCGTTGTGCAATTTCGCTTTGGATGGCACGCTTGAGGAGGGCCCAAGGAAAGTGACGAGGGACAACGGACACGGCGAGGAGACGAGTGTTACGACGACGAAGACGACGAGGAGACGACGGAGACGACAACTCGAACGGAGAAGCCCCTCGCACACGCCGACAGGGTCGGCGGATTTGGCGACCGCGCCCCAAATCCATGGATCGCTAACCCACGTTTGCGCGCCCCGAACAGGGGTGGGCCTGGCCAGGGACCTGCGCAGGTGCAGAGAGAGAGAGAGAGTCGGTTCTGCTCGACACCGGTATGTGTGTGTGTGTGTGTGCGAATGTGTGTGTGTGTGTGTCTGTGTGTGTGTGTCTATGTGTGTGTGTGTGTGTGTCTGTGTTTGTCTGTGTGTGTCTGTGTGTGTGTGTCTGCGTGTGTGTCTGTGTGTCTGTGTGTGTCTGTGTGTCTGTGTGTCTGTGTGTGTGTTGCTCCTCGCGCGGGCACGGCCCGGGGTGTCTCGCCCGCGCCGCGTTCTCGCACCCCTCCCTCGGGGATGCTCGAGGATCGAGGAGCTTCGAGGAGGTTTGAGGATTGAGGAGGTTCTCGCTCTCGCCCTCGAGGAGGTTCGAGCATCGAGGTTTCTGGACGTCTTCCTCACTCTCGTGCCTCTGGCGCGGCCTCTCTTCGCAGCGGCTGGGTCCCCATCGACGTACTGCTGGCCAAGCCGCGCGTTCCTGTTCTCGTCTCCCCTCCACTTGCCAGCACAGGTGGTATAGTGCTCTGGAGGGGCCGGCGCCCCGGATCTTGTTCTTCAGACCCGTTCTGGCCACCCAGGGGTGCCTCCCAGTGCCAGTCCGATGGGCCGTTAGAAGCAGCTCAGCATGAGCACAAATGTCCCAGACCCAGGACTCATTTCCACCAGTGCTTGTTTCCAATTCCTACATTCGAGTAGGGGATGGACTACATCATTGATTTAACCCAGAATTAGTTTTCTCGTCGAATCGAAGGAAAATCTGCAGAAGCCTCAGTAGATCTACCAGCATTCTAGGTTTTCGTCGTAGATTCGATGGGGAATCAATTTAGGGGTACATCAATTCTGTAGTCGATCCCCTACTCGATATGTGGGGGGCTGTCGGGGAGGAGGAGGAGGAGGAGCAGCAGGATCGATCTGTGTTTTTGAGCGTCCTCTTGGAGCCCCATCGGCATCGGGAGACCGTGCGCCCGCTTCTCGCCCAGCCTCCCCGTCCCCCTCTCCTCTCCCCCCTGCCCACCCTTTATCTCCCTCGCGAAGTACGTCAACGTCGCGTCCTGACCACGTGACCCCTCCTCTCAGGGCCCCATCCTCTGCCCACGCTGCAGCGCGAACACCATATTGTCACCAAAATCAGTCACGCTGCACAACAAATCATAGGATACATCGATATTTGAAGTTTTGTGTCAAACGGGGTCAGGCGAGAGATGAGGGTCGTTTTCATAACGTGTAATTATTGATGGGACGTGGCGGGCGGGCTCGAGCAAGCGGAGGGGAAGTTGAACATGAGGTGAAATGCGTCCCTTTTCAAGGAATCAGGCCTCATCATCTTCATCTACTTGTCTTCTCGCAAATTCGACCCGAGTATTCTCTTCCATCTCCTTCTCTCTATCTCCCGCGTTATCTCTCTCTCTCTCTCTCGTTCTCTTTATGTATGTATTTGTTTCGCGTTCTCTCTCTCTCTCTCTATTTCTCTCTCTCTCTCTCTCCCTCTCTACCTCTCTATTCCCCTGTCATCTCTTGCGTTTTATCATCGATCCTGTCTCATACCTCTCTCATCGCTCTCTATCTCTACGTGATTATCCTCTGTCATATCTCCTCTCCCTCCTCTGCCCTCCTCTCATTCTTCTCTGATCGTCATTACGTCGTATATGTCCTCCTCCTATTATCTTCTTGAGTAATGATTCATAGGTATCATATCCCCCCTGCCCATCCTTTCCTCATCCTGTCGTATTCCTCATCCTTCTTACTCCTCATTCGTTCTCATGCTTCTACTCCCTCCTCGCCGCCCAGGCCAGACCCCCTGGGGTCCTCGGACTCTCGGACCGAATAAGTCCTGGAAAAAGGATGGACGACGTCTTTGGCACCTGACCATGCTCGCTTGACGCCGCCGCGTCGATGTCGTCCTCCTCGTCAATCTCGTCAGTCTCGTCGTCGTCGTCGTTTTCCTCATTGTCGCACCCGTCGTACTTCTCGTCGCCGTCCTCGTCGTCGCTGAGGTCGCCGTCGCCATCGTTGCCGCCGTCGCCCTCGTCACCATCAATATCGTCGTCGTCGTCGCACTCGTCGTTCCAGTCGTTCCAGTCGTCGTCGTCCTCGTCGCCGCACACGCCGCTTCGTCGCTGTCCTCGTCGCCCTCGTCGTCGCTCACGCCGCGCCCGAGGCCGCCGCGCTGGCCGCCGCCGCGGCCGGCGCCCTGCGGCGGTCGCGCGCGCGGCGGGCTGGCGATCGGCCTCGCCGCCACCATCATCACCGCCGTCGTCGCCGACGTTACCGAGGTAGGTCGTCGCCGTCAGCACTGTTTCCGGAGCTTGGGCCCCCCGCCCCATCCACCCCTTCGTCGCCACGGCACGACTGGGCGCGGCTGGGAGAGCGAGTCACGACGGTGCCCACGTTGTGTCCGAGGATTGGTTGTGAGCGGGTGCTCGCACCATCTCCTCAGCTTCTCCTGCCCCCTCCCTCTGTCATCACCCACATGGCTAGCTGCACTGTTCGAGCACGCACACAGCGAAGCCTCGCGTCGCATCATCAACTTTCGCCGCCTCATCATTCCTCCCCCCTCGTCCGCGTCCTGGACCTCGTCGTCTTCCCGGTCTTCCTGCGCCCTCGCTCTCTTCGCTCGTCCTGTTTGGCAGTCATCGGCCTCGCCGTCCTCCCTCCTCCTCATCCTCCTTGCCTTCGTGCTCATCCTTCTCCTCCTCCTCCTCCTTTGTCCTCTTTCTTCCCCGAAGTCCTTTTTCTCCTCCCCCTTATCCTCCCCCCTATGTTCCTCCGCCGCCCCCGCCTCTCCCCCCTCCGCCTCCTCCGCCCCCGCTTCCCTGCGGTAGGTTCACTCGGCGATGGCGCGACGGCGACGCTGGCGAAGGTGCTCAAGGTTGAATTCCGCACGATAGGGCGACGCCGAAGCACCGAGGGACACGGTAACGCCGCAGGACCCGACGGGATTCAATTTTGAACGATCGGGGCCGCGATCGATTCAAGGTTGGACGCTCGACGCGGTGTCAAACACCTGTACGCGCGTCGACGCCAGGCGAACCTGCCGCACTCACCTTCCCCCCTTACTTCCCCTCTCCCCCTCTCCCTGACATCTGCACGGCCCCCGGCCCTTCTCCTGCCAGAGCAGGGGGGAGGGGCACCAGTGAGGCCGACGAGGACGACGACGACGACGACGCCGACGCCGACGCCGACGCCGACGCCGACGACGCCTCCGCTGACGACGACGACGACGACGACGACGCGGCGGCGGCGGCGGCTTCCTTCGAGGCCTCCGTGGGCGGCGGCGCGTCCGCCGCGGAGCTGGTGTCGGCCCTGCCGCCGGCGGGCGTAGCCGGGGGCGGCGGCGCGGCGCTGTTGCTGGTCGAAGCCGCGCGCTTGCGCTCGTTCGACGCCGAGTGGCGACGGCGAGGGCTCGGCGAGGGCGACCTCGACGTCGACGACGAGGAGGGCTGTGTCGGCGTGACGGTGGCGAGAACGATTGCTGCGTCGACGGCGCCATCGACGACCAGGACGACGACGACGACGACGACGACGACAGCCGCGAGGACAAGGACAACGACGGCGGCCACCTGGTCAACGACGTCAACGACAGCGAGCGCGCGCGCGCGCGCTCGCTCAACGACGAGGGACGTGCGGTTTCGCTGTCCGGTTGCGTGCCGCCGATCTATCGGCGACGTATCGCCGATTCCAGGTCCACATTTCCCCCCTGGGCCAAATCCTCCCTCTCGTTGCCCCTCAGACGAGGAGGGCCGCAACGACGGCGAGGACGACCGCGCTGTCGACGGTGCCCTCGACGACCTCGACCGCGAGGGCGATCACGACAGTCACGAGGACGAGGACTACAACGACTGAGGCGGCGGGGACCTCGTCAGCGACGGCCTCGGCGACGACGACGACCAGGACAACGACGAGGGACCTCGATGACAAGGACGACAGCGACGACGAGGACGATTTCGACGAGGACGGCGGCGGCGTTGTCGACGACGACGGCTACGGCGGCGCATGATTTCACCGAGCAGATGCCAGCTGTTTCCATGCACCCGACGACTATACAGCAACACCAGGGACCCCGATGACCGTGGCCTGGCCAGTCTGAGTGAGATAGGGATCTCAACGCGTACGCATGGTTCATCCATCATATTCGACCTCTTTGGGCCGTTTAAGGGTCTGTTGGCGTCAACAAAAATATTTCTGCGAGG